TGACTCCCATTACAACATTACAGTTTTTTGTTATTGTTGATTTATTTAACAGTTCGATAATTATTATTAATTAGCACATTGCTCACAATAATAATAGTTTGGATCTAGTGAATACAATTAATATAAAATTTTTAACCAGTTTTCGTTTATAGAGATGCTAGGATTTTTATTTATACTATTTTGATTTTTGATTATTTCTATACTTTCTTTGAATTTTCTTTTATATGTATCTTTTTCTCTGTGTAAAATATCTATATTATTTTTGTCTATATTACAATTATTTAAAAGGCAGTGTTCATGAAAAGCAGAATTTAGTCTACGATATTTCAAATCGGCTATATGTTCTTTCAATCTTACTTTAACTTTATGTTTAGTTTCACCTATATAAAATTTTTTATTTTCACATGTACACGGAATTTTATAGACTACGTATCAACTAAATAAAGATGAGAAAACCCGCCAAGTGTCTTAATTTATAGCACTTTATTGTGTTGGAAGCATAAACAATTTGTAAAGCACGGTTTCATATCATCAAAATCACACTAAACTCATATTAATCCAGTCATTCCTTCCATGTAAGGGTGCAGGGAGATTGGATGTACACGTGTTTTCCTGTTTACTCCACACGACTAACATTTTTATGGAAACTGAAGCACATAAGTGATCACACTAAAGAAGTATGCTAAATAATTGAGAGGATGGATTACCAAGAAAGTGTACAATATATAAATGAAGATCATCTATAGGCCTAATTAAATACTTTTCTTTTTTAATATAAAATAACAGATTGACACAGCAGTGCCCAACCCATAGCTGGCACGCAACGAGTTACTTGCGTACCACTCTCTGGCTCACATATTCAGATTCATCACTTTTATTAATGACTGTTTAGATCATATGTCTTTTTCAGCCCAAGTGAGATGTCTAACAATTGGCTAGCCTTGAACAATGACCACTTGATATGCACATCTACTGATGACACTTCCCACCTCTCTCCTTCCCCTTAATGCAGTGAGTTATCATTGGCCGCGAGAGAAATGTATGTATATTTTTTATAGTGGTTGTATGTTTTTATTTTCGCATTATTTAATGCATTTCCATATATACACGGAGTGAACTTTGAATTTGTGTATGAACTGACAAATGGTTTTAACCACGTATAAAAATATTTGTTTGATTTATTTTAAGAATTAATATACTAACAATTATACAGTAGACCACCCTATAGCAGAGTAGATGTGATCTGTTATATGAATTTCATGTTGTATGAGTCACTTAAATACATGAGCCAATCACAGCCCGGCACTTGTGCAGTTTGGGGGCTATGGCTGTTTGAAAGGTTTTCTTCCATAAAATTAATCGATTCTAGATTAATTTGACTCGAACATTTCCAAAATCACGCATAATTTTTTAGGAATAATCCATATAAACTATGCTATAAACAAAAAATTGTAGGAATACGTACCTAGTCACACCATTTGAAGACGCCATTGCTTAAGCTCGTTTTCATTGCGGAGCAGCTCACTGAACAATGAACGCATTTCCTGATAAACTATTCTGATGACTAAAGACAAAATTTTAGATAATGTAAAAATTATAAAATTACAGTATTAAACTTACAGTATCTAATTTATATACTGTACAAATGATAGTAAACTCAACTTTCCTGCTTAAACTCTCCGTATATACACATGGCAACGGACAGCGGCAAGTACTTCAGCTGCTCGTCCACTATTGGTCCAGATTTGACCAATCCTATTGCAACACGACAATCTGTCTCATTCTTTTACTATGTTATACCAATCTCTTTAGCGTGTTATACAAACACAATCGCAATTTTTTCACCGTGTTATATGAACCCGTGTTATAGAGGGGTCTACTGTATTCATCTTATGGTTACCCTAATTATGTCTAAATAGGAGTCAGAGAAAAATATAACATGGACATTCACATACAATTTTTCTAGAAGACTGAGAAGAGAAATATTTCTTATTTATTTTAAGAACAAATGTATTTGTTTGATTTGCAGTTCAATAGTTGCTACTGGAAAAAGTGCAACATAGAATGACATTTTGCAACGGTTCATGAAAAATATGATACTGAATATCTTATTAACAGCAGTTAAGAAAATCTAAAGTGAAAGAATTAAAAACAACATTAGTTGCCCAACAATCTATATTTACTAAGTCCATGACTAAATGAAGAGCTGCTACAATTCCTTCATTTAAGATTGCACATATACTTGCAATGCATGAAAAATCCTTTGACGACAGCAACATAATTAAAGAAGCAACGCTTGCTACATCAGAAACATTGTTTCAAGAATTTAAAAATAAGACGGAAATTATTTAATCTATTGAAGATGTTCAATTATCAAGGAATTCAGTCACTTGTAGAATAAAAGCAATGTCTGAAAATATCAAATTACAAAGAAAAAAAGAACACGATCTAGTGTTCAACACTTCTAAAGAAAAAGAAAAAATTTAGAACAATGCATTAAGTGTACAATGTGATGAATCAACAGACATCTACAATATCGCTGAAATAAATATTTTTGTAAGAATGGTCTTTAATGATCCCTCGGTAAAAGAAGATATAATCTGTTTTGGCACTACAAGAAAATACACATGGAAAGGACATATTCCAAGGTTATTAAAAACTACATTAAAGAAATTAAGATGCCTCTTCAAAAACTTGTGTCCATAACAACCGACGGAGCATCTGCCATGATTCGTTCTAATGTTGGCTTCATCACATTATGTAAGAATGATGCAGAGTTTCCAAATTTTTTTCATTATCACTGCATCAATCATCAACAGGCATTATGTAGAAAAGTGTTGCGTTATGAACATGTCATGAAACTTGTTCTAAAAACTGTAAATTCTAATCGAACCAGACCGCTTCAGAGCATATTATTCAAAATACTGACTGAAGAACTAGATGAGTATGGAACTGTAATCTTAGATTCTGAAGTTAGATGGCTTAGTAAGGAAAAAGTCCTACAATGATTTGTAGAGCTTCTTCCAGAGATATAACTGTTTGTAGAATCCAGAAACAAAACTTATGAAGAACTTAATGATCAAGACTGTTTGTCAGATTTATCCTTTCTTACTGATATAACAACTAAAATGAATATACTCAGTCTTGAACTTCAGAGGAAACAAAGAACTCTTTTTGAATAAACTCCTGCTTTGGATCAACTTACCTTTGTATAAGCGGCTTTTTGACAATGAAATTTTTAAAATCAAAGTTCAGATTCAGAATAACAAATAAACATATGAATGATTATATGACAGTTGCTGTAACACCTTATGTACCACAGTACAATAAACCAGCCGAAAACATGTGATGTCAGTCTTCACATTGATTATTAATAAGTATTTTTTTTTATTCTGTATTGTATTACAGTAGAGCATCGATTATCCGACCCCCGATCAACCGTCACATCGGTTAACCGACCGCGTTCTAGTCGGCAAATTCAAATGTCCGCTAGTGATGTGGCACTACAATATTTGGCTATGTCTTGGCTACTTTAATTTATTTTTGCATGTTCTAGCTGGCAACATTGGCTCGACCGTGAAAGAGAGCCAGTATTTAAACGAGGCTTAATTTTCTAATTTTTTAACGATACAATAGCAACAATTATTATTTTAAAAAATTTTTGTTGGGCTTAACATCGATGTAAATTCAACGCGAAGTAGGTTAATAGCGCTATACTCATATACTAATTACATGGGATATACTAATATACTATACTAATAATGTATTTTTTCATATTTTTTGGTTATCCGACCAACCCCAGTCCCCAATTGAGTCGGATAATCGATGCTCTATTGTAATTTGTAGTAGTAATAAACAGTAATAGTGTAATATTATTGTGTTTTCTTTTACGTATTGTTGCCACTTTTTTTTTTCAAAAATAAGATCATCATCCTATGTGTGGCTTGCCGAAAATTTTTAAATTTTTTAATTTGCTCCAGATGGACTAAAGGTTAGGCACCGCAGGATTAACATATTAATAACTGAATTTTATTTTATTATATAAAAATAACTAAAAATAAATAAATAATATATTTAAAAGATATTTTAAGTTATGCATAATTAAGTAATTCTTTTTAATTAACTTACTCTTATTAATGAAAAATGAAACTTGCTTAAAGAAGTGAAAGATGAGTGGCTTTTAAGTTGGGGCGAATTAAAGCAATAGTCACATTCAGAGTCTCTTCCAAAAGTATATTTGTCTTTAGTCAAAACTGAAATTAATAACATTATTACATTAAAAATTATATTATACAACAAAATAATACAAAAATATAATATTTTAACCTTGTCAAAAGAATTAAAAGTGATAACTAGGTCCCAAAACTTTACACCATTAAAATCTATAAAATATGCATATAAATTTGTAGAATTTATATGTATATTTTTTACAGAAATACAGTATTTTAAACATATTTAAGCAAAGAAATTCCTATATTAATATATAAGGATCATTTTATTCTCATACAAAACATGAAACATAATGAGGAAGGATTAAGAGCCTGTACACACTAGGCATTTTTAAACGCGCGTTTTAAAGAACCAAGAGTTCTATGTAGGCGTACACACTCAAACGCGTGCTTTTGGTTAAACGCGCGTTTATAGATTTTTGTTAAAACGTACGTTTTGCGGGCACTTTACGGGCGCTTTGAGATATATGCGCTGCCTTATAGCGACGATGGAGGAGCACACACAATCAATTACTTTCATGTCCATTTCCAAACTGAGCCAATGCTAACGCTGAACTAACGCTCGTCGAACGCTGAGCTAACGCATGTTAGCTCGGCGTTAAATGCGCATTTAAAAACGCCTAGTGTGTACAGGCTCTAAAATTCAACTTAAAAATTAATTAAGTTGATGAGTGTCTTCATCTTCCTATCGAATTTATCATACCTTCACTTAATTTTTGTTCTCTCAATTTCGTGACAGACTCCACAATGCCTAACTGCTATATAAAAAGTAAATATAATTTTAGATTTTTTTCAGAGTGGCAATACCTATGAAAAACAGATTTATAGCAAAAAAGATCTTTCTACTTCACGCAATGTGACTGGAGCATTTTTGAAAGCCACAATGTTTCGAATGCCATAAACGCATGGTACTCGAGCACTGTTGTTTTCAATTAATGCCTTGGCAATTTCTTTCATCATGTTTAGTCCCAAATTTAAAAAATAACAAACTTCAGTTTTTCCTTAATTCCACTTTTTTTCTGAGAATTTGGAAGATTTTCTACTGTATCTTGCACTTCATGGATGATCTCAATTGCACTAAGAAGGGAAATTTGGCTTTCAAGCTTTGTAATTATACAAAAACTCACTACTCACCACACCTATATATCAATCACATACACTGAACCAATTTACGATGTGGTACGATCGACTAACAATTAAAAACATACGTTTTTGAACGTTTGTAATTATATTGACCAGAAAAGAGAAATTGGCTTTGATGTACTGTACCCTTGACTTGGCTCGTGCAAGGTTTCATTTAATACTATTAGTCATTACTACTGCTTTTATTAAAAGTAAAATCATATGTTTTTTTCCATAAATAATGCCTATGTTCAAGAGTTTGCTCTTTTCTTGAATAACTAATAAATGTACAATTAATTATGGTTTGAAGGTTACTTTTTCGTTAATCAATTAACAAACGCATCTGTAATGAATAGCTACTAACTTCTACTCAACTAATTAATAAATGTGTGTATAATTGATGGTTTGGACTGTCACTGCAATTCTTTTGACAGAGATCCTCGACCTCTGTCAAAAGACTCCCTATTGTCATTCGAAATATCCAACACGATCAATCAGAGTCATCAAAGGAACCATCTAAGTAAGAAAACAAAGTGCAATGCCAAGTCCGTAATCACACAATTGATAGTGTCCAACCTATGATAATCAAGCAAATTTCTTTCGTAGTCAACTCCGACCAGTTTGCCGCAATACCAAGTAGTTTGCACCAGGCTACGCGTACCCACCTGACAAACGTTCTAGAATGTTTCCGACACATCTAGAAGATAACTTTGATGTTAAACTCAACATCCAAACTATGATCTTTCTTCTAGAACAATCCACAAATGGCCAAACGGTTCCATTGCTGGGAATTCGGTCGAGAGTTTGCACCTTGCCAGGACGGGCCAGCCATGTGGAGTTTTCCAGATTTTCTCCACATCCGTAACGCCCAAATAGAGGCCAGTTACCCTTAAAAAGACTACCCGGAAGACATTTCCCCTAGGCAGATCACCCAAATGTTGCATTGACATAACTTAACCAAAACAAACAAATCTAGAACAATTTACAGTCATGTAGTATAAGTAATAATTTGATAAAAAAGCACTCATTTTTATTATGAGAAATAAAATAATTGATTAATATTGAATTATTCATTAATCAGATGTTTTTTTTTCATTGAATGTAATCATTAATTTCAATATCTCATTACATTTCAATGGCTTCTAAACTTTGTAATGCACTCATCTAGTCTACATCGCTCCGCTCAACACGAACTGCGTCCAGTTAATTGTTATTAAAAAAGGCTAATTAAATAAAATACTTCAATTTGAATAATTTTAATGGAGTTTTCAACAGTTATGACTTAAACTTTTTCAAAGAATATTATTCTGAAAGAAATTGAATACTTTCAATTGAATTAAAAGTATTCAAAACATATTTTAGGCCCAAATACTTTTTATGGTTATTTAAATAAATCGACTGTTAATTAAAACATCACTGTTCTTAATTGTATTCGTTAATTGACGAATTTGCAATACAAAACACAGAAATTGAGGGAAATAAACCAAACACGTGTTACTCACGTGTTACACGTGTTGCCAATTACACCTGAAATCGAAGGTAACTTACTTACCTAAAGATATAAATTTCGAGTTGCAGGGAAATAACCTTCCCCAAACACCGTCTGGTGTTTCGTCGTCCGAAAAGCTGCAAGCCGATAACTCCTGAGTACCCACCATCGCTCCGCCGCTTCCACCGCTACTCGCTAAATTTTCATTCTGCGACATGTTTCCGTTCCTTCTCGCACTCACACAATGAGGTCCAACAATACAATCTTGGGCATCGTAAACACATGACTTGTTAGCGGACGACATGCTCTGGTTCTTGCCAAATTCGCTTAACCAACGTCGATAGCAAAATATAGCCAAAAGATCGCCTTCGTTTTATCGTCTTCATCAAATATTGTAATGTTTTAATTAATTAATTAGAAAAAAATACAATTTAATTAAGTGAATTAATAATAAACTTTATTTTTAAATTATTATTTGTTATTTGAATTTTTTATTTTAATTTTGACTCCGATGGCTCTAACTGGCAAAAGAGGTTGTTTTTTATCGAGTCCTTTGTGAATTCGGCCAGGTCCGTGAGGGGGCAACCGGAAATAAAGCGTGGCATATCCGGACGGCCATCACCCAAAAAGTTTTTGAGGTTTTCGACCCGTCCGAATTCTATCCCGGGTCCCTCATAGCAATAGGATATTACTCTAACCGCTCGGCCACTTTAGCGAGTCTGTTATAATATAATTATAATAGGATCGCTAAAAAAAACCCTGTTTATGCCGACGGTACGGAAAGAGTTTTTAAGAAAAAGGCCAAACTACAGTGTTCGCATGATACAGTAGCGACATATGAACTGGTACCGCCATGTTCAGTCAAGTATCAGCGAGCGATCTATATGTTTAAAAATAGAAATACCGACGTTTTCGGTTTAATAAACCATTTTAGAATTTTTTAAATTCTTTCCGTTCGTAGTATACTATTTATTAATTAAATAACTAGATATGTTATATAAGGAATGTTTCTTTATTATTTAGAGGCTGTGTTTTATTAGTATAATGCAACGTGACACATGGGCGATCTGCCGAGAGGGGAATATTTTTCAGGAGGTTTTTGTGAGATTGGCCACTATTTAGTTATTGCTAAGGTCAAAAAACTCGAAAATCTCCACGTAACCAGGCGCGAACCCACGACCAACTATCAGTGTTCAGTGGTTTTATACAATTGACCTGTTTAGAGGCGTATTTTTCAGGTTCATCATGTTCTGGTATAATAACAATCATTTTCCTTTGTGAGTTCTTCANATTGACCTGTTTAGAGGCGTATTTTTCAGGTTCATCATGTTCTGGTATAATAACAATCATTTTCCTTTGTGAGTTCTTCAATTATCTTAAAAAAATCAAATTAAAATTTTTCGTTCAGCTCTGTCATAGGAATGTTTTTTTTTATTTGATACACTACAGTGCCCGTGGGGCATAAAGAATCAAAGCTGAAAAAATACCAGTTAGTATTTAAATCCACATGACCGAGTGATGATCCAAATTGATAAAAGAAACTGGGAGCCTGGTGAAATAATAGAAATAGACAGATATCGACCAAGATCTTA